TGGGGGCTGGGGCTGGGGCTCGCACTGCACTGAGAGCTTCATCCTCTGCAGGACCCTGGCTAACTCTGAGGGACAGAGAGTCTGAAGGAGGGGTCAAAAGAGTAGGGCCTACATGTAAGAGACCTCCGTGCTGACGGGCTGTCAGAGGGGAAGCCAAGGGTGGAAGGGGCTTAGGGATGTGTGGGGAGGGCGTGGCTGAGGGACTCAGACAGGGGGCGCCTCCGGTGGCGTCGGTGGAGGACTTTCCTCTGTCCCCACCGCCTCCCCTCTGCTCACTGCTCTGCTCCCCCTGGCCTCGCTGGGATTCTCCCCCTTCTCTGACCCGGTGGCCTGCTTGCTCCAGTGTCCCACCCAGTCCTGAGCTGAAGAAAGAGCCATCTCCAGAGCCATTAGCCCCAGCCTTTACCATGTCATTGGCGTCTGTGGTCCCCTGCCCTTGAGACAAGAGTGAGTGTCCACACTGAGACCCCTCTGGCCATGGGCCCGTGGAGCCTGGGGCCTGGCTGGTGCTCCTGGTGACAAGAACACCCTTCCTCTCCCAAGGCCAGCCTTCCACGGGGGCTGGGGGTCCCCGAGCCTCCCTGCTCTCCAGAGCCAGGACAGGAGCTGGTTGGAGGCTGCTCTCCCTGCGCCCCTTCTCTATGCCCTCAGCCGGGGGCCCAGGCTGTGTGGTGTGTGATGGAGGCAGCTCCCGGGGAGCAGAGGGCCTCTGAGAGCCTGTGGCGAGGCTGCTGGCAGCATCCACAGCGTCCCACACACTCACCACAGCGCCCAGGCGCAGGGAGGCCAGCTGTGGGAAGTGGCGGTTCCTATCTCCTGAGCTGGGGTCCACCTGCCACCGCCGGCTGCCGGGGCCTCTCTCTAGTGAGCCAGGTCGCCCTACACCTTGTTGCCAGGGACTGGTGTCCTGTTCTGTGATGGGAAGCAGGCCCTGCTGAGTTGGCACCTTGACTTGGACGCCTCCTGGCTTCACTCGTCCTTCCATCTCTCTGCCAGGACTCCGAGGGGTGAAGCGTATCAGGATGGGGCCAGGTATCCCCCCTACTTTGCTCTGACCCAGGGGGGCAGTACCTGGCCTGAGAGGCTCTCTTCCTTGACCTTGGGGGGCTCCTGCACTGGCATGACCTTGCTGCTGCCTCAAGGTCCCTCCAAGGGTCACCTCGCCAGGTGTCTTGAGTGGAGGTAGAGCTGTGGCAGCCAGTCCTCCAGTTCCCCGGAGCTTCTGATCCTGGGTCCCTGGTGCAGCCGGACTCCTCTGGCCACGTCCCAGAGGGTCTAACTTCCCCTGCCCTGAGCTGTGTCCCTCGACACCACCACTGACCTTGGACTTCAGGGGCAAGGCTGGCCTGGCTCCTCCCGCCTGAGAAGGCTGGGCCCCGGGGGTTGTGGGTGCGGGTCCTGCTGCCTCCTGGTCCTGCCCAGAGCCAAACCAGTGCAAGGCCAGTGCTGTGGCACCCACCACAGCCAGCGCCAGCAAGGTCAGGACAGCGCCGTCCCAGTCATCCTCCCCGTCCCAGCCCCAGCCGAGGCCATCAGGCTCCAGGGTGCCCTGGATCATGGTGCTGGGCGGCAGACTCAGCCTGGGAGCCAGGTCAGCAGGCTGGAGGCTGTGTGTGCTGCCTGCAGGGCGGTCCGCTGTCCGGCCTGGGCTGCTGTCTGCACAGATGGCATCAGCGACGCGCCCCGCCCACAGAGCTGCCCAGTTAAGGTAGACCTGGGCTGGGGGACTAGTCGCTCCGCCTGGCCTAGGAGGGGGTGGGTCTCTGTGCCCGCCCCTGGATTGGGGTTTGTCGGTGGAGCTATCAGGAGACAATATAATATCCAAGAGCTCCAGGAGCTTGGGGACCTTTCCAGGCCCACCTGGCCCCTTCTCCTTTCCCATGGGGTCCAGTGGCAAATGGCATTGTTCCTTAACACTGTTCCGGATCCCAGCCAACCTGCTTCTGCCTACAGACCCTCCAACCCCCCGGACTTCCACCCCATTATTCCAGCTCCGACCCTGGGTCTAGCCTCAGGGGCTCTGGCAGGGAAGAGTTACCCACAGGGAGATGTTATCTGTAGCTTGAGCAACATGATGCAGCCCTGATGAAATTACCAGAAACCCAAGAAGTCGGTTCCACTGTGGGCCAGCAGAGGAGGGGTGGAGAGGCATACAGCCCATGGTGCCAACCCTGCAGAAGGGCCTCAGACTGGGCGACACCATGGAGGGCATTTGTCCTGACACTAAGCACGTCTTAGAAAGTGCAACCTCCTGTCACCTCGACCATGAACTGGAGGCTCGCACTCTTCTCTCCCTGGACACAGAAGGGTGCTTGAGAGGGGCCCCCACCTCCCCTCTCCCAGTGGCCGCTGGACTTCCCTTACCCTGAGCTCAGCAGAGATGGGCTAGAGTTTGCTAAAGGAATTTGCTAAGCTGTCAAGAGGGGAAAAAATGAACAAAATAAAGAAAATCCAGAAGTTGTATTTCTCTCTTTATTGGCCTGGCTTATTACAACATCTGCCCTTTCTAGAGCCTCCTGGGCCTTCCCTGCACCCTACGGACCATCTTGACTACTCAAAAGCCTCTCATGGTGCCCCCAGGAAGCCCTGACCCCAGCCTGCTCTTACCCCTGTTACCTCATCAGCCAGCCCCAGGATCCCTCAGGGACGCTCCTCTGACCCCAGCTAATCTATCAGCCTGACTTCCGGGCATCCCATCCCATTCATTGGCCTTCCCTCATCTTAGCCAAATCAGGCCCCTCCAGTGTCCTCACTGGAGCTCAGCCCCTTGCAGGTCAGCACTGCTGCTGGGTGTACATCTGGCCTCCCTCAGCGTGCTTTCTCGGGGGAGGAGCTACGGCTCTTCCATCTGCTTCTCTCTTAACCTGATCTCAGGAATAAGTCTTGGGACAAGTGGGGCCCAGATATGAAAAAGAGCCAGGAGTCTCTGGGACAAAGGCAGGCCCCCCCAACATGTATTCATTAATTTTTCTAGGACACAGGGCCTCTCCCTGACTCAGGCAGTGAGGAGATGGCCAAGGAGCATCCCTGGCACCCAGCCTGGGCCCTGCTGGACCTCAGGTTCCTCACCCATCTCGTGGCCTCCCAGCTCCCCTGAGCATATTAGATGACAGTAGGAGGGTAGAAGGCGGGCCCATCCCTTAAGGTGGATCTCAAGTTGGTGGCGGGCTTTATGGACCTTGAACTTATTCCTGTCCCAGTCCCAGGGCCTGCCTCTTGGTTATTTGGGGTCCAAAGACCTTGAAAAGTTGGAGATGACCTGCACCCCCTTATAGGCCACACGCTATCAGGCATTTCTACCCAGCTTCTTCAAACACCTGTTGTTAGCAGAGCCCCGGGCTGCTGTCGGAGAACAGGGGATGTGTCCAGCAAGTGATACCTTATGGGTGCCATGGTGGGGAAGACCCAAGCACAGGAAATCACCCCAAACAATTTCACAAGGTGTCAAGGACTGTGATGGGTCTTGGTGGCACCAGGAAGGGTCTAGTCCCATCCTCTATGGAAAGAAAACACCTCCCTCTATCAAAATCCAGGGGGAGGGCAAAACTCGGCCGCATGGAGAAACTCCCTATTGGGAAGGTGACTGGGGACATGTTACCTCCCTAAACTGTGGGAGATTTGCCCTCCTAACTTTCCAGAGGAAGTAAAAATGTAGTACTGCTGGAAAGGTGACAGAACATGAAGTCATCTAGACAAACTGTGAAACAAAAATTGTTCCAGTTGTGCCATGAGACAGTGTAAATATCCAAGTTACCATCAAGGTGAGAAACAACCAACCAAGAAAGTAGATGTGACCACGAGTGGCACCCTGCTGAGGCAGGGATGGAGAGGGACTCCTGCCTAGTACCTGAGGCTTCTGTTTCCTCAGACAGCCCAGAACAGGAATGGGTGCGTCTCCTGCCTAGGGCAGCCCGCCGTCCACACCCTGGGCACCTGGGAAGAGAAGACGCATCCGCGTATGAGCCGGTCCCCTGCAGCCACTCACGGAAGACCCCAGCACTGCCTGGTCACGGAGCCTGAACAAAGCTGGATGGTGCCCTGGCCACCGCTGTGCCCTCTCTGAAACACTAAGTGGAAGGAAAGCACAATGACGTGATGACATAATTCCCAGTGGAGAGCAGCAAACCCCACCAAATGTAGGGTTTTCTCTGTGACTGTCCTTTTTAAAATCAGGAAATATTATATAATCAGAAATGATTAAAAAATATATTTAAAAAACAAAGACTATAATAAATAATCCTATACTGAAAAGTATACATGTATTTTTATATATGTATAAATAAATAAGGTTTAAGGCTTAGAAAATATAAATCCCAGATTTAATAATCGCACCCCACAGGAACTACCTCTTAAGGAATTCATGTGACATGGGAAAAATTCATGCAAAAAGGGAAAATGTTATTTAAAACAAACAAACAATACAATATGATTTAAGATGGAAAAAGCTAAAATGTAAGCATTCAACAATATGGGAAGGATGAAAACATGCACATGATTTTAAGATGTGGCATTGGAGGGGCGCCTGGGTGGCTCAGTGGGTTGAAGCCTCTGCCTTCGGCTCAGGTCATGATCTCAGCATCCTGGGATCAAGCCCCACATCGGGCTCTCTGCTCAGCGGGGAGCCTGCTTCCTCCTCTCTCTCTGCCTGCCTCTCTGCCTACTTGTGATCTCTGTCAAATAAATTAATTAATTAAATCTTTAAAAAAAAAAAAAAAGAGGGGCGCCTGGGTGGTTCAGTGGGTTAAGCCTCTGCTTTCGGCTCAGGTCATGATCCCAGGGTCCTGGGATCGAGCCCCGCATCGGGCTCTCTGCTCCGCAGGGAGCCTGCCTCCACCTCTCTCTCTCTCTGCCTGTCTCTCTGCCTACTTGTGATCTCTGTCTGTCAAATAAATAAATAAAATCTTAAAAAAAAAAAAGATGTGGTATTGGAAAACTTACCTCAATAATTATTAATAATGTGGCTATGAAGTTTAATACCAGTATTATGGAGAGCCATAATAGAAGAGGCATAATATTTTTTTAAAGACTTTATTTGACAGAGAGAACGCGTGCTTGAGAGCATGCACGCATAAGCAGGGGGAGCAGCAGATGGAGGGGGAGAAGCAGGCTCCCCAAGGAGCTGGGAGCCCAATAGGGGCTTGAGCCCAGGACCCTGGAATCATGACCTGAGCCAAAGACACTTAACCGGCTAAACCACCCAGATGCCCAAGGCATAATATTTAAAATGTGGACAAAGTATGAGAAGAAAGAGATAAAGCATAGTGAGAGTCACCTCTTATTCCAAAGGGGAGAATATATATATCTAAATATTTTTTTGAAGATTTTATTTATTTACTTGATAGAGAGGCAGAGAGAGAGCACAAGCAGGGGGAGCAGCAGGCAGAGGGAGAGGGGGAAGCAGGCTCCCCACTGAGCAGAGAGCCCGATGTGGGGCTCAATCCCAGGACCCTGAGATCATGACCCGAGCTGAAGGCAGAGGCTTCACCTGCTGCGCCCCCCAGGGGCCCCTGTATCTAAATCTTGAAATCAGTCGCTAAATTCGGTTCATATATAAGTTTAAAATTTTTTTTAAATTCTAAATTGATGTAGACATTTACCACACTTAGGGATTGGAAAACTTAATGTCATAAAGATAACAACTGATGAAAGACAATTCAGAGATTCCAAAGACCCAATGAATGTCAAGCGGGAGAAATAAAAGGAAATTCATACCAAGAAAGACCAGAGGGAAACTCTGAAGGACAAAAGATGGAAAATCTGGAGACCAAACCCCCGAGAAAGACGGATCACCTCCAGAGGAGCGACAGCCGTCAGCTGACTTCGTGACGAAAAACCACAGGCCCACAGACAATTTAACGGGATTTTCAATGTGTTGAAACAGAAGAACTCCCAGTCTCAAGTCCTACCACTAGAAGACAGACCTTTCAAGAATGAGGCAAAGCAAAACCCTTTCCAGACACGGAGAGTCTTCAGTGGAGTCGAAGCTAACCTATCTGGGTGGTTTGGGCACAAAGAAAATCCTACAAGAGGAAAGAACTGAGAATGTCGGAAGGAAAGATGAGCAAAACCAACACAAACGACGACCATGTGAATAAATCTAAGCAAACGCTGACTTTATAAAATACCCATAAGTTCTGGTAAGTGTCTTAATTATTTGGAATTGAAAAGAAAAACAATAGAATCAATGAAACCAAAGTTGGTTCTTTGCAGAGATCAACAAAACTGACGAGCCTTCAGCTAGATGAAGAAAAAAAGGAAGAAGACACAAAAAATTAAGTCAGAAGTGAAAGTGAAAATGTTACTACCAACCCGACAGGCAAAAAAAGGGTTATAAGAGAACACTGTGACCAACCGTCCACCAACAAGTTAGATAACCTAGATGAAGTGGACAAATTCCTAAAAACACACAAACTACCAAAACGGACTCAGAAGAAATGGAAAATCTCAACAGACCTATAACAACAAATGGAATCTGTAATCAAAACCTTCCCAGGGCGCCTGGGTGGCTCAGTCATTAAGGGGCTGCCTTTGCTCAGGTCATGATCCCAAAGCCCTGGAATGAGCCCCGCATCAGACTCTCTGCTTGGTGGGAAGCCTCCTTCTCCCCCCC